ACACACACACACACACACACACACACTTACTTTTAATGCAACAGTCATGCCGATAAACATAGACATAAGTCATGAAAGAAGAGCCCTCCTCACTTTCTCCATTTCAGTGCCTTTATAATCACCTGCCCAGTAGCCAAATGTGACGCCAGCACAGCTAATTTGACATCCTCCCTGCCTCAGCTACACCACTTTAACAAGCTAACTCAAAGTTAAGTCACAGCCTTGTCAAAGGAAACGGCGGAAAGACCTTAGCAGGAGGTGGTTCCCCTACCTGTGTGAGCAGAGGATGAGAGTACAGTCCCAAACTAAGCTGGGAAAAGCCCTGCAGAGTTGCCCCCGGGGTGGGACATGAAGGATTACAGCAGGAGTTGGGGGAGTTGGTTTTGGCTACTGTTCCTGCTCCTCCTCTCTCTCCTGAATACCTCGCTGTCTGCATGGAGAGCGACTGCTGCTGTTGCTGGCTGCTCGGTGGCGCGCACTAGTCTAAAGGCTGCCTCTGCTATGTGTGCGCATGTGGGAGGTCTATCACAACAGGCTGGCTGACGGTTTATGTGAGAGGTGGAGGGTAAGGGGCCACTGAATTCCACTGTATAGCGTTTGATCAAATGACATCAGTCCCTTTAGGTTCTCTCTGAAATGTATGGCTTGTTATGAGTTATGGACATTTATATTCTAATACATAATATATTCCATGCCAGTTAATGTTATAAATAGAAGAGACAAGCTGAATAACATATTCAAACATCCAGTAATATACGTAGCCATATTCATGCACACACAGATGCCCATCCCTCAGTCCATCAGTGTTGAAAACACTCGTGTAATGGAAAGAGCTACAGTACATCGTCCAACAGTCATTTAACAAGCACTCTCAAAGCTAGGAAGCAGGGAGCAAACTCCACCCTGGTGCAGGCAGATGGAGAAAACAGAAAAGCGTAGTGGGTAAAAACAAAAAAACCCAGAAGAGCAAATGCTGATCTGATTTATGCAGTTACTGTCCAGCTAAAACAACAGATAAAGAGTGACGCAGATGAGTCACAGTAGCTGTTTGTTATATCTTCTAACCCCAACATGGGAAAAGTGTGTGGTGCATATCACCTAGCCATTTGTATTTATTAGCAAACTGGACAACCACTTTATTATTCGACAACATAATCTAGAATAATGGACAAAAATCACATGTGTCACTCTGACTGAAAATAAAAACATTATATATCCACATTTTAGGGCTATTCAGTGGAAGTTGGACTACTTTGAGTGGCAGATTGTCACCAGTTCCCATCTTCCTTCCTCATATCCTTCCTTCTGGTCTGTTCTTTGAGTAATGTTGATGATTGTACTGATTGCAATGACTCCAGCTGTTCCACTGTCACATCCAGTAAAAGCCCAGCATAGTCATCCCTCGGCTTGTGTCTTCACTTGAGACACGACGTGACTGATCGGCATGATTTGTACTACAGGAAATCTAATCTGTCACTTTACACTTGTGAGACTTTTCTTAGCGGAGCAGGACTATTTATGTTGAGGCTGCTTCTGTGTGTGCTGCTATGTCTGCTGTTTTCTTTTGGTTGAAGTGAACCAATGGGAGCCTCTACAAATAACCTTTGACAGGGCTCCTTCATTTGCTAAGAAAGGGCATGTGTACGTATGATGCTCCACACTGTGTGTGTCCACGCTGGTGTGTTTTTATATAATCCCTAGGAGGTAAATACTTGCTCAGTGATCCCGAACACAGTACTTGGAGGAGAATATCTGCAATCCAGACCTCGTAGCTTTAACTAATTATAACGCAGCAGGAGAGACTGGACCAAGTGTTACCAGTGTGGAATGACCAATTAGTCTACATCCGCTCCATTAGTGACAAGACTGAGTGTGACAAACACTTTATCATGTAATGCTTTAGGAAAAAGCAGGAGGCCAGCAACCAGACCAAACACAACAAAAACACCATCACCAAGAGATACAGTAGAGTCTACGATGTATAGTACTGTGCAAATGTCCTAGGCCTGTCCTCTTTTCTTCATGTTTTGCTTCTAAGAAGCTAGACATTCTTGTCATTTTTTAATGATCTTAATAGTAGTAGTAATACTAATAGTTGTCCAGGATTTTGGATGATATTTCAAAGTTTTTCTTTGGACATTGTTCCCAATCTTGAGTATATGAAAAATGCTGAAAAGATAACACAGTTTGACGAGTATAAAATTCTATGTTTGCGCCAACAAGGTAATTCAGAAAGAGACAAAATTGTAGCACATCTCGGGATGATGTGCAGTGTGTGTGTAAGAAATCTAAAGCAGATGAACAGTATCTGAAAATTGTGTTTCTAAGAAATAGGCTGATCCAATGAAGCCTCATCAGAAGTGGTCTCAGTGGCTGTGAAGAAGTCATTCTTAAAGAAGGGAAACGGGAAGAAAACGGCTTGGCAACAGTTTCATCTTTCAGAATGACAATGATTCCAAACACATTGCCAATGCAGTAAAAGCATTCCTAGATAGGAAGGCACACAGCGAAACACTATCAGTTATGGACTGGCCTCCCCAGAGCCCGAACCTCAAAATTATTGAAGCAGTTTGAGATCAAAAGATGGCCAACATCAAAAAAAGAGCTCTAAATGTCCTTCAAGAAGCCTCAAGAAGAATTCCTGAAGACTACTCAAAGAAAATACAAGAAAGCTGTCTAAGAGAGTTCAGGTTGTCTTGAAGAATTGACTTTCACCCCCGTTAGACCTGTACAAAATCTGTTTTTGCCTTAGATACAGTATTCCCATGTATGTTTGCACATTTCAGTACATTGCTTTATCTTTTTCTCCACTTTCTTCTGATAAGTATGTAGCTCAATATTTTTTACAGTACCATATAAAAACAGATAAATGGATAAAAGAAACTGAGAAGACTTGTAGCTAGAAAATGGTGTCAGATATTTTGAGGTTCTGTGGGCCAGATGGTGCAACTGTGTGACCTCCTAATCTCTGAACTCTGAGCTATGACCTTTGTGGCAATTGACCCTCCCTCTTACAGCATGTTTCTCCTCAAGCTTACAAGTATAAACATACATGTGGCCGTCTTGAGAGGAAAAAAAGTGTGTGTGTGTGTGTGTGTGTGTGTGTGTGTGTGTGTGTGTGTGTGTGTGGGCACTGCTGCCTAAACCAGACAGGATGGGG